TTTTGATTAGTCCTAGAAAATTATATTTACCTCAAAAGAGAATGACTTATTTTCATAATAACAATTTCATAAACACTCGACGCGCGACCTCTTAGAATTATCGTAAATAGAGAGGGGAGATTCATGGAGGATCATTACTATAGCGAATACTAAAATCCGAGTCTGCGCATTGCAGAATTTTTATTTTTTTGACGTGGTCTAATGTACATATATGTACGTTAGGCTGCTCTTTAAAAATATGAAATATACATTCTGTAAGGGACATCCAATTATTCCGTGAAAATTTCAATATTTTATTTAAAACAATTAATAAGGTGCCTTTTCCAAGGTTTGGAAAAATTGAAATCTTGTAAATTTTTCATGTTACTATAACTATTCGTATAAATTCATGGTCTTCGCCAAATGGATTCATCATACAATATTAAGCTCCGAATACTGTCATTTGGTAAAAGTTTTTCAGAATAAATACTTTTTTTCTTTAATTTTTTCTAAGTTCCAAATACCACTGGTTTTACAAATAACTATTCTGAAAAAATTCTAGGGAACTTATGTCCAGGACTTCACGGTCTCAGAACGCATTTTTTTTCTATGATAACAAAATGCATATGTATGTCAAATTTATCCAGTGTTAGTATTTTCGAATCCTAAAAATTGTTTGAAAATTGTTCGTGAATGTATTTATTTTTTACCAGGGACGTGCATTAATTACTTAACGGAAACGTTAACCGAACCGATATTTTCCGCAAATGTTTGATCCGAACCGAAACCAATTTTTAGTAGATAAATTTTACGCACTCTTTTATTTTTTCTTCTGTCTTTTTACTGCGTAGCATACGGCATAAATTATAAAACTTTTTAGTACAATTTCATCTGTACCCAAAATTCGGCAGCACTTAATTTGTTAAGATATATAGCACTGTTTTGATTAATTTCTGAAGAGATAGATTTATGCTGGTATTCAGTAAAAGCCTGATTATGGCAACTTAACTTAACTTAACTTAACGGAACGTAGAACTTAGAGAATCAAAATGAAACAGATTTCGACGTGGCTTTAAGTGACGTTAAACTTTGGCTGTTCAATTATAAGCAACACCCATTTAACATAATTTTTAAGAGAGAGCCGTAAGTTACGTTAAGTTGCCATAATCAGACCATAACATTATGTAAATTCACCAAAGAGTTATTGGGGAATGATGCTGAAGTGACAGTCCCCGGCCAGGTATAAATCTATGTTTACGCACCTTTCTTCGCCGTCGACTAGGTCACGCGTCTTTCTTCGCCGAAGTTTTTCTTAGGCGCCTTTTTTCGTAAATTTTTTTTACGCGTAATTTTTCGCCCTCAAAACACTATCGCGCCTTTATTCGTGTCTAGTGACGACATACTAATTATGTATGAACATCTGTATACTGTAAAGAATTTTATATAATTTCATATTCGATTTTTAATTTTTAAAATATTTTAGGATCATAAAGTGCTGTTTAGGTATACTTATGCAACGCTTTTAAAAACCCCCTGTATGAAAGTTAAAACATTAAACTGCAGAAACTCCCACTGGTGATGTAAAAAGTGTTGAAGCCAGCTTAACGACTATATTCGTATTTATTGTCGCGGCTAATTAGGCATTGTGAAAAACGCATCACTGTTCCAACGAAATTACTCGTAACTTATGTATATTGAAAACTTAAAATTCGTGCATACATACATACATACGTGTGTATGTAATTATTTGCTCAGAATAATACAGAAATGCATATTTATGTTTTCAAATCTTGTTGCAATGCGGCATACGTAACCACTATTGCAGCGGAAAATTTTGTAAGCGGCTTGTATCATTACATTGTTGTGCTCAGATTGTCGCAAGCGTAACACAGCGCTATGAAATATCTTATACGAGTATTGCTGCATATAACTGAAAAAAATGATGTCGCTTTATATGAACTTATTGTAGTTGTGGGAACTACATACATATGTACAAGAACATTTTCGGATGAAGATATTGCTCTAAAATTGCAATTGTTTGCTTGTTATTTCTAGATATGCCGTCGTGCATGTCTTGGCATGTGTAGGTACCCTGCAAAAAATTGTGCGACTAATCTCTAAAGAGAGTATTCCGAGATGACTCTCAATCAGGTACAATTGGGCATAAATTAGTCGCAACTAGTCTCATACGGGTACTATTGTGGATCATTTAGTCTCGATTCATCCATCACGGGTATATTTGGAGATCAATTAGTCCCCGACTCATCTCTAACGGGTACTATTAACGATTTAATGATATGTACGCACTTTGTTAATGAAATTTCATTTGCGGCGCTGGCACATAGAGAGAGTATTCGCTTAACAAAACTGAGAACCCCGGTTCGAATCTCAGCTGGCGCAAATTTTTATTTTTATTTTTTAAAAGTGACTAGTCGCTTTTTATACCCGTTCGGGTATAAAGGTGAACAATTAGTCTCTTCATAGGACATGCTCGAACAAAAGCGATCAGTTCATTCCATTTAAAGAGATCAAAAGTGGTATTAGTCGCATGCTCCTTTGCGATTGCTCCCGGAGTTATCCCGGATTAGTCGCATTTTTTGCAGGGTACATACATATTTCCAAACATATATACATATATACATCTGTAGATGCATAGATGCCCTGCAAACGAACATGCGACTAATACCACTTTTGATCTCTTTATATAAAATTAACTGATCGCGTTTGTTCGAGCAAGTCCCCTTTATACCCGAATGGATTTTAAAAAGCAACTAGACCGCTTTTAAAAAAATAAAAATTAAAAAAGGTTTGCTAAGAGAATACATACTTTCTCTCCATGCCAACGTCGCGCATAAAATTTCGTTGGAGATGTACCCGATCCTCACGCAATTCGCATAAATAGCAGCCAACCAATGCGACACCTCCAGAGCCCTTTGCAGCTGCGCAGGTATGATGCCATCAGTCCCCGGCGACTTGAAGGGTTTGAACGAATTTATCGCGGGATCATGTGACGATTGTCCAGAAGATCAGAGAAGTATAGGACCTGAAGTACAAAATATTCCAAAGAAATTCAAAAAGTTAAAAAAGAAGTACTGTCCTTCCGAAATAAGTACGCTTGGCCACATTAGGGTTGTTACATAATGTTAGAAATTCATTGCAAATGTTTGCCATAATTACATTTTCGTTTCCAAATAGTTGGTTAAGAATAATTCAAAACTGAAGCATGTCCCACCCGTGACAACTAAGGGTAGGACAGTTGTCACAGGTGGGTTTACATACAACAACTTTTAGCTAGTCCAAACAAACTTGTAAATCTCTAAGATAAACTCGGAGTATATCATCCAAATTGCATTGCAATCGGATGCACCGCACCGAAGTGCATTAGAAAAATGCATACAGTGGCTGATAATTCACGCTCTCACACATTTTTATACATTAGTATGGGTGTCACCATTGTTATCTGAAAAAGATCTTGAGTGCTGCGGTATATCTGCGGTGAGTCTTAATATGACTATCCTAAGATACAAATTGAGTGAATTGAACTCCTGCTTGGCTTCTTATGTTTTATAATAACTATTCTTTAATATGGACCGCACTTTTTAGCGCTCCATTTCATATAAAAAATCGTACGTGACCCACCAGTGACAAAGGAA